GGCAAAAACTGAAAGCTTTCCCACTAAGATTGGGAACACGACAAGGATGTCTGCTCTCACCGCTTCTTTTCAACATCATATTGGAAGTCCTAGCCACAGTGGTCAGACAAGAGAAAGAGATAAAAGGCATCCAAATAGGAAAGGAGGAAGTAAAGATATCATTATTTGCAGATGACATGATAGTGTACATAGAGAACCCTGTAGACTCTACCAAAAAACTCCTCAACCTAATAAGTGAATTTGGCAAAGCAGAAGGATACAAACTCAACATTCAGAAATCAAAGGCATTTTTGTACACCAGCAATGCAATAGAATAAGAAGAAATCAGAAAAAAAATACCATTCGATATAGCAAGAAGAAAAATAAAGTACCTAGGAATAAATTTAACCAAAGACGTAAAAGACCCGTAAGCAGAAAATTATACAACATTGAAAAAAGAAATTAAGGAAGACACAAATAAATGGAAGCATATACCGTGCTCATGGATTAGAAGAATTAATATCATCAAAATGTCCATACTACCCAAAGCAATTTATACATTCAACGCAATCCCTATTAAGATACCAATGCCATATTTCACAGAAATAGAACAGACATTTCAAAAATTTATATGGAACCATAAATGACCCCGAATAGCTGCAGCAATTTTGAGAAAGAAAAACAAAGTAGGAAGGATCACAATACTGGATATCAAACTATACTACAAAGCCACTATACTCAAAACAATCTGGTACTGGCACAAGAACAGACCCATAGACCAGTGGAACAGAATAGAAAGCCCAGAAATAAGCCCAGGTCTCTATGGGCATCTAATCTTTGACAAAGGGGGCAGAAGCATAAAATGGAGCAATAACAGCCTCTTCAACAAAAGGTGTTGGGAGAGCTGGACGGCTACATGCAAAAAATTGAAATTGGATCATCAGCTGACACCATACACAAAAATAAACTCAAGATGAATAAAAGACTTAAATATAAGTCTCAACTCCATAAAAGTCCTAGAGGAGAACATTGGCAGGAAACTCTCAGATATCCCACACAGCAATTTTTTCACTGATATGTCTCCTAAAGCAAGGGACATAAAGGAAAGAATAAACAAGTGGGACCTCATCAAAATAAGAAGCTTCTGCACAGCAAAAGAAAACATCAGCAAAATGAAAAGAGAGCCAACCCTATGGGAAAATATATTCGCTAATGATACATCAGATAGAGGTTTGATCTCCAAGATTTATAAAGAACTCACTCGACTCCACTCCAAGACGACAAACGATCCAATCAAAAAATGGACAAAGGACCTGGGCAGACGCTTCTCCAAGGAGGAGATACAGAGGGCACAGAGGCATTTGAAAGGATGCTCAGCATCACTAGCCATCAGAGAAATGGAGATCAAAACCACCATGAGGTACCACCTCACACCGGTCAGAACGGCCATCATAAACAGATCCACAAACAACAGGTGCTGACGAGGCTGTGGAGAAAAGGGAACCCTAGTCCATCTGTTGGTGGGAAAGCAGACTGGTGCAGCCACTGTGGAAAGCAGTGTGGAATTTCCTCAAAAAGCTGCAAATGGAACTGCCTTTGGATCCAGTGATTCCCCTGCTGGGACTGTACCCTAAGAACACCAAAACGCCAATTCAAAAGAACCTATGCACCCCAATGTTCATAGCAGCCCAATTGACAATAGCCAAGTGTTGGAAGCAACCTAAATGCCCATCAGTAGATGATTGGATCAAAAAGTCATGGTACATATACACAATGGAATACTACGCAGCAGAAAGAAAAAAAGAAGTACTAAACTTTGCGACAGCATGGATGGAACTGGAGAGCATTATGCTAAGTGAAAGAAGCCAAGTGGCGAAAGACAAATACCATATGATCTCACCTATAAGCGGAACCTAACCAACAATACAAAGATGCAAGGAAAATAAGACCAGCAACACTGATGTAAAAGAAATCAACAGAGACAAGAGGGAAGGAGGGAGGGGGGGCGGGAAAAAGAAGGGAAGGGGAAAGTCAAGGAACATATAGCAAGGACTCATGGACATAACCAAAGGGGAAGAGCTGAAGGAGGGAAAGAAGGAGGGGGCAAGGGAAAGTGGTGGGGGGGAGGGAGAGACAAATGTATTTGAAAATATAAATTAAAATTAAATTAAAAAAATTACAATATAGTAGAAATCAAACACTTTACTTACTCTAAACAGTATTGCTTATAAACTCTTTCTCAATACATGTAACATTCTAATTGACCCTGGTTTTTTAACTCTATGTTTGTATTGAAAACTAGCACCAAATACTTTCAATATTTAAGTACTATTTAAATTTTTGAGACAAAAAAACTGTTTATAAAACATTCTTTTTCTATTCTTAAAAATAAGGAAAAATTAACTTCATGTTGAGAATCTTTTTTATTGTGAAATATTTATAGATATGGAATACTAATTTTGAATACTATTTCCCCACTCTGACCTACTTTCATCTAAAAAGAATACTCATACATATGAATTTGCAGTCTATTTGGGGTTTTCTATACATATCTTTTCAAAAGCGCAAATCATCTTGAAAACATAGGCAATATTTGTCAAACAATATGCCAAATTTTTTTGAAAATTTAAGAACATTCCTTCCCATGTTTTAAAAAGCAGCCTCATTTAAAACCTGAAATAATTTAGAAAATTATCCCTGAATCCATTCATTCAAAAGTATTTATTTAATGCTTATAATGTGCCACATTCAGGTAGGTATTATGGTTAGTAGAAATTATAAATAGATTCTAACTTCCAAGACCTTAAAAATCTGGTAGGAGAGAGAGAGAGAGACATAAAGAAACAACTGAATTACAATGTGGTCAGTAAAATATCATATGAAATTTCAAAGAAATACAGCTATCCTAAACTTTGGAGGACAAAGATAGTTTTGTGGGAAGAAGTGAGAGTTAAACAGAGATAAGAAATCATGTGGGTTAAATTCGAGAAGTGAGAGAGTCAGTCAAAGCTAGAGCAGAGTATATGAAGGGGCATGAAGCTTACGAGTAAATATTATTTTATAAAGGAGATTTTATGTCATGCCAAGGAGTGTGAATTAATCATGTAGCAAGAGAGATTCAGAGGAGGGTTTTAAAAAGGCTATTGACAATAGTATATCTTTTTTAAATTAAACTTATTGGGATTAAAAAAATTATAAAAGTTTCAAGTGTACAATTATATATATACCTTCTGTACATTTGGGTGTTTACTATCCAGAGTCAAATCTCCTTCCATCACCATGTACTTGACCTTCTTTACCCTTTTACTAACTCCCCCTGAGTCCCCTTTCCCTCTGGTAACCACCATACTGTTTTCTGTGTCTATTGGTTTTTGTTTGTTTGTCTTGCTTCTTCATGTGTTGCCTTCAGTTTTATATCCCACATGAGAGCAATCATATGGTTCTTGACATTTTCTGTTTGTCTTATTTCTCTTAGTGTGATAGTCTCAAGATCCATCCATGTTGTTGCAAATGGCAATATTTCATCTTTTCTTACGGTTGAATAGTATTCCATTGCATGGGTGTGTGTGTGTGTGTGTGTGTATGCACACCACATTTTTCAACCTAAAAATATATTTAGAAATATAAGGCATATGGCCTGTTTTATGGAGGATGGATGGGAAGAAGAAATAACTAGTGAAGAAAAACCAGTGAAAGGGCCCTTACAATAATCCAGGCAAAAAATGAGAGTGGCCTAAATGAAGATACTGCAGTATGAATGGAAAGACTTGTTTCAATCTGAGACACATTCCAGAGGTTGAATCAAAACAAATTAGTAATTATATATAAAAGGTGAGGAAAAGTGAGTAGTCAATATAATTAATAAACTTTCTTGCTTAGGTTACCTGGTATAGGACGGTACTCCCATAAGATTATAATGAAGTTGAGGGCCTCTATTTTTGCCTAAATAAGCTTAATTTGAATTTCTAGGACCTTACAATGTTTTCTGTCACTGGTGAAGCTGTCTTTGTTTTTCCTCCCACCTGTTTGTGTTTATGTGAGATTTTGCTTGTTACATAGGCTCACTTTTGTTTCTCTCTATAAACCATAGCTTCTATACAACATTTAAGTCTTACCAGGTCTCCAGTGTGGTTAGAGAGCTCTCATGACAATAACTAGAAGGTAACTTCTCAGCATGTATTCTAGATTCTTGGGGAGGGGTAAGCAATAATACTGGCTAATATCATCACAGGCAGCCCTTCTATTATTTACTTTATCACCGTTTTACTCTTACAACTTGATGATGATCTCCAATTGTCGCTCCTGAGTTATTCTTTACTCTATTTTTACTATCAAGTGTAATCAGATTACTTTCTATTTCTGGGTATTCTTCAATATATGTTCCAGTGATTTTATTGACATACATATATATTTTTCTCCAGGAATTTTGTTATGATATGGGAACTGAAGAGAAGCATTGATGTATGCCCAGTCTAACACCCTGAATTGGAGATTATCTAAGAAACTCATAATATTCTGACTATATATTCTTTGTGTTTTTGGTAATTTATGCCCTTATAGCTCCAAGTTCTTTTACAGTATATCATAGAACATGACTTTTGCCAAGGAGTTTTTAGTCCAGAAAAGGGATCATACAAGGATAATACTAAATATTTATGAACTCATGTAATTATGCTTTCCACACTTTTATAATATATTAAAATTCAGTGAATAACATTGGTTGTATGGAAAGTCATTTGGGAGTAAGTGGCATTTGAACTGGTCTTTGATGAAGGTGTAAAATTTAGAAACACAAATGAAGGGTGAAACAATTAAGATGGAGTAATAGTGAAAGTATATGACTAGGCAGTAGAAGCAAATAACTGTTTGGAAACAACAGGGTACAACTGACAAAAATATAATGGGGCAGATGAAGTAGGGTATTTACAATTTTCCCAGTGAATTCAAATAAAAGTTAAGTTTACTATTGTTTTCTGAGATATTTAAAATTTGATTTTTATTGAGATCTTTTATTTTGACAGTTTGAAGCTGCTTTTGAAGAATGGTAAGATCCTATTATGCTTCTTTTATTTTTTAATGTTTACATTTTGATTAATCTACTCCCCATGAGTTTTATTTTGAAAGAAACAGAAAATTGAAAGAATAAATTTTCAGATTACATATTAAAATAAAATTTAAAAAATATAAAAATTAGTATATCACTAAAAGTGACAGAATAGGAATCTCCAGGACTCTGTTCCACCACAAAACAACTATAAGTTTGGCAAAAATTGGTCAGAATCAACGTTTTCCATCATCTGTAATTAGTCAAAAACTTACAACTGCCGTGGGAAAAGTTAATGAAGAAAGAGTCTGCTGAATTATATTGAGAGAACATTGTGGCATTTTAAATTGCCTGCTGGCCATGCTCCAGCCCCAGATCAGTGGTGGCCATGAAGAGGGCAGCCCGCACTTGTGGCGCCTGTTGCTAGTGCCATAAGGAACAATATGGACCTTCTTCTTGAATAGTTGTGGTTCAAAGTGTTGACCTGTCTGACAACTCCCTGAAGGATTGACACAAAGGCTAGTCTACATTTTGCCTGACTTGGAGTGATCCCAGAGCTTGAACTACTTCCAGGGAGTGTTTGTTGAAAGCATTTAAAGACGAATACTTGCCACCATTGTATGAGGCTATTGATATCAGCTGGAACAAGCATATGACAGGCCAAAATGCCTGGGAAAGAAGAGGTTGAAAAAGGAGATACATGAGAGAATAAGGCTTTTCAAAGCTTTCACATATACTGGAGAATCAAGAGGTGTATACAGATTGTCCAATGCTGGACACATGCTCAGGGAAGAACCAAGAAGTCCCTAATCTTTTACCTGTGGCTAATCTTTAGGATGAGCACAGGCAATAATTGATTATAAGAAGCAGAGATATAAACAGACTGGATAAGCATTGAAAGAATACTCCAGTACAGAGCCAACCTTTTAAGACTGGAAGGGTATTTCTTATCCCCCTCTGTTTAAGTTCCAGGTATTTAAGCTAACAAGCAAAACACAAGCTCACCAATTAGCTACTGAAACATTTACTTAACTGGCCATACATGACAAGGAATACAGATGTTTAAAAAAGTGTTTAAAAAACCATTAAACAAAGTAATATCAACCACGCACAATAAACAGCAATAATAACCCCAACAGAAGGGTAAATTTATTTACATTTTACTTTAAAATATTCAAAATGTTCAGTTGTATATAAAAATTTTGAGGCAAGCAAAGAAGAAAAGAAAGTTTGTCCCATTAACAATGAAAAAACAAATTAAAGAAACTGACCCTGAGGAAGCACAGACATTGGACTTATTTTATATAGACTTTAAATTGACTGTCTTAGATATTCTCAAAGAGATAATGAAACTACAGGCAAAGAACCAAACAAAATTAGGAATCTAACATGCCAACAAATATAGAATATTAATAAAGTGATTGAAAATATAAAAAAGAACCAAATAGACATTATGGAGCTGAAAAATATAATTATTGAAATGAAAAATTAATTAGAAGGGCTCATCAACAGATTTGAACAGAGGAAAGAATCAGGAATTTGAAGATAGGTCCATTGAGATTATTCAGGCTGAAGAGCAGAAAGTCAAAAGAATGAAGAAAAATAAACAGAGCCAAAGTGACTCCAGGAACATCACCAAAGATACAAATATACCTACATTGGGAGTTCAATCATGACTAGGGAGAGAAAAAGGGGGAGAAAGTGTATTTGAAGAAATACTGGCTGAAACTGCTCAAATCTGATGAAAACATGAGACTGTACTTCCAAGGAATCAGAGAACTCCAAGCATGATAAATTGAGAGATCCACACCAAGACACGTTTTAATGAAATTGCTGAAAGCTTGGGACAAAGATAGTACAGGTTTCCCCTGCGTCCAACTGAAGGGGTGCAAAGCAAAGAAACAATTACCATTAATTTATATGGAAAATTTTCTCAGTGTTCTCAGACCCCCAAAATCATACTGAATATGCTTAATTATGTCTAGTTTTACACCAAGTGTAACACTCTTAGAAGCTCTCTTAGGCTTTTCTGATACCTTAGGACACATCTGGCTAATGGATGCACAAAATAAATGGAGATAAAGCACAGTTGCTCACATAGTTCAAAGCTGTCATGGCTTGATGCTGAGATGCTGAGTGTAGTTCCCAAAGAAGGAGCTTGGAGGCATCACTGTCACCGCTCAGGGTGTTCACTGTCTTTCTAATGACTTGCTGCAAAACAAGTGCTGAACACTACTTGTGCTTTTGCTCTATTTTTTCTTAAAGCAAAAATCCTCTTTGGTTTTCTTTCACTTAGTGAAGCCACATACTAATGTAGGCCTTTGGTAAAAGCAAAGTGGCATAATGTGAACTTTTGAAAATCAGGGTATACCTATATGATGAAAAGGAGAAAGAGGTGACTTATCATGTACAAGGGACCCTCAATAAAATTAACAGCCACTTTTTCATTAGAAACTATGGAGGCCAGATGGCAGTGAAATGGCATATTTAAGTTGCTGGAAAAAAAAATGTCAAACAAGAATTCTGAATCCTGGAAAAGTGTGCTTCAGAAACAAAGGAGAAATGAAGCTTTTCCTACATAAACAAAAACAGAGGGGCTTCATCACTAGGTCACCTATCAGAAATCCTAAAAGCAGCCTTCAGGCAAAATTGAAAGACACTAGACAGTAACTTGGAGCCGTATTAAAAAACAACAAACAACAGTAAAGGTAGGTACAGAGATAAATACAGAAGTCACTATAATTGCATTATTTTTTGATATCTCTTTTATTTTCTTACATAATTAAAAATGTAAATGAGCAAAACTATAGTTATAAATCTGAATTAACGGTGATGACATAATGTGTAAATGAGCAATATGTGAAAATAATATAAGGGGAGGGAGCAGAGCTAAAGGAACAGAATTCCTTAATGCTATTGAAACTACACTGATGTTAGTTCATACTTAATTCTCATGAAGTTAAGGTGTTAATTGTAATCACCAGGGGACCACTAAGAAAAATTCTGAAACCAAATAAAAGAACAACCTCCCCCCCCCGCCCCCAAATCCAATAAGGAAACTAAAACAATACACACACACAACTAACTACAAAAGAAGGCAGTTATAAAGAAGATAAAGAGTGGAAAAGATAGAATATATAAAAAAACAAGTTTGCAGAAGTTACTCCTCTCTTAATCAGTAGTTACTTTCCATGAAAATGTATTGAACTATTTTATTAAAAAGTAGAAAGTAGTGGAATGGATAAAAATAAATGATCGAACTATATTCTGTCTATAAGAGTCACTGGAGATCCAAAGTCACAAGAAGGTTGAAAGTTAAAGGAAAAAAATATATATTTTGTGAAAATAGTAACCAAAATAGAGCTCCAGTGGCTATACTAATGTCACACAAAACAGACTTTAAGTCAAAATATATTGCAAGAGACAAAGTACACTTGGTGTCTTGAGGAATGGGTCACTCTATCAAGAAGATATATAAACTCTAAACATATACAAACCTAAACACATAACCTCAAAATACATGAAGTATAAACTGACAGTAATGAAGGGAGAAGTGTAGTTCTGCAACAAGAGTGTATAAATTCAATATCTTCATTTTCAATAATGGATAAAAGAACTACAAAGATTAATAAGGAAATAGATTTGACCAACACTAGAAACATCTACACCTGTCTTACATAATACACTTCACCCAATAACAGTAGAAAACACATTCTTTTCATGTTCAAATTGAACATTATTCATGATAGATTATATATTAAGCCACAAAACAGATCTCAATAAAGTTACAAATATTGAAATCATACAGAGTATCTTCTGTGCCCCAATAGAATTAAACTAGAAATCAATAACCAAAGGAAACTAAAAAACACATATTTATGTATAACTAAACAACACACTAAAAAAACCTAATATGTCAAACTGTAATCACAAGAGATATTAGAAAATACTTTAAGATGAATGAAAAAGGAAAACAATGTACCAAAACTTATGGGATTTAGAAAAAGGTGCTCACAGGGAAATTTATAGCTGTAAGTGCTTACATTAAAAAAGAATATTCCCAAATCTAGTAATCTAACTATGTGCCTTACAGAACTAGAAAAGAACGAATGTGCTAAAGCTAGCAAAGAGCAGAGAAAAATAAAATAATAAGAAATAATATCAATGAAAACAAAAGCCATTTCTTTGAAAAGACAAACCAAATTCACAAACCTTTAGCTAGACTGACAAAAAAAAAGAGAGAGAAGATGAATTACTAAAATCATAAAAATTAGAACATTACTACAGACTTTACAGAAATAAAACAAGTTTGTAATATCATTAACAATTAATAATACTATGAACAGCAAATTGGGTAACCAAGATGAAATAGGCAGTCCTGTCCAGGCAGCCCAGCTTGTTGGAGCATTGTCCCGATACACCAAGGTTGCGGGTTCGTTCTCCAGTCAGGGCGCATACAAGAATCAACCAATGGATTCGTAAATACTTGCAACAACAAATCCATGTTTCTCTCTCTCTTTCCTTTCCCCTCTCGCTAAAATCAATTAAAAGGAAAAAAAGATGAAATAGACAAATTCCTAGAAACACATGACTATCAAAACTGATTCAGGAAGAAGAAAATCTGAACAGAACTAACAAGTAAAGAGACTGAATCATCAATCAAAAAATTTATCAAAAAAGAAAAGCTAAGAACCAGATGGCTTCACTAGTGAATTCTACCAAACATTGAAAGAAGAGCCGTGGCCTAATGATTTGGTTGAAGGTTACAGGTTTGATACCAGGTCAGGGCACATACTTCGGCTGCGGGTTCAGTTCCTGGTCAGGATGCTTAAGGGAGGCAACCATTTGATGTTTCTCTCTCTAACGCTTCTTTCTCCCCACCTTCTTCTCTCTCTAAAATCAATAAACATATCCTTGGGTGAGGATTAAAAAAACATTGAAAAAAGGATTAATACCAATGCTTCTCAAATTCTTTAAAAAGGTAGAAGTGATGAGAATACTTCTTAATTCACTCTCTGAAGCCATCAATATCTTCATACTAACACCAGATAAAGACACAAGAAAAGTAACTAAAGACCAATGACTTAATGATGATCAATACAGAAATGCTCAACAAAATACTAGCCACCTGGATCCATCAACATATTAATGGAATTATATACATATATCATGACTAAGTGATATTTATCCTCGGAATGGAATGGCAGTTCAAAATACAAAAGCAATCAGTGTAATACATCCCAGTAATAAAAGGATATGGGGAAACCCATGTGAGCCTCTCAATTGATGTGGGAAGCAGGTGGCAACTTCCAACACCTTTTATGTTGAAAACACTAAAAAAACTTGGATTGGAAGCAAACTTTCAAAACATGATGAAGGAAGTTTATGAAAAATCCTTGACTGACATTATGCAGGGGTAAACTAAAGCAGGTTTATGGTTGTGAGTATATGAAAGAGTTTATTCTTGTATTATCATTATTTATCAATGATTGTATTTTCCTCACAGACAACTGTTAACCGACTTTTGCCCACCCCTGTACTTAATGGTGAAGACTGTAAGTTTTCAACCTAAATCAGGAACAAGACAATGATGGCCCACTGTTGCCACTTTTTAAAAAAGTTTCCATTGTTGACACTATTAGAGGTGTCCTCCATTTCCCCCTGACTTTTCTCCCTCCACCAAGCCCTCCAACCCTGGCCTTCACCACATGGTCTATGTCCATGGGCTTTGAATATATGCATATCTGTTTCTTGGCTAATCTCTTCCAGTCCCCCTAGCCACCTTACCTCTGAGATCTGTCAGTCTGTTCCATGTATCTATCCATGCCTCTGGTTCCATTTTGGTCATCATTTATTTTGTTCATTAGATTCCACATATGAGTTAGATCATATGGCATTTGTATTTCTCTGGCTTATTTTGCTTAGCCTCATATTTGCCACTTTTATTAAAAGTTGAATCCTTGCACATTGCTGATGGTTAAGCCACTGTGAAAAACAGTTTGTTGATTCCTCAGGTGGTTAAACCTAGAGTAACTATCAATCCAACATTCCACTCTGAGGTATAGACACAAAAGATTTCAAAACAGTTGCTCAAACAAAAACTTTAAAGATGTTGATGTCATGAGTATTCACAGTAGCCAAATGAGAGAAACAACCTTGATCTTTCCATGGATTTATAGATAAAGGGTTATGTATCCCTGCAATGGAATATTACTCAACCGTAAAAAGTAACGAAGTTCTGATATATACTTTACCATGGACGAACTTCTAAACCATTAAACTAAGTTAAAGAAGCCAGACACAATCAGTGTCTGATTCCATTTATATGAAACATCTATACTAGATAAATCTATAGAGATGGGAAGCAAATTGATTTTTGGCAGGGGCTAACAGGAGAGGGAAAAGGAAGAGTTTGCTTAATAAATAGAGGGTATTCTTTTGAGATAATGAAAAAGTTTTGAAACTAGATGATGATTGTACAACACTGAATGTGCCAAATGCTGTTGAAGTTTACACTTCCAGCAATGCAAAGGCCAGGTGGGGCGCTGGGTGGAACGGGGGAATGGAAGGAAATAGGGGACATTTGTAATACTGTTAACGTTTTCTGTAAAGCTTAACTTCCAAATGGTTCATTTTCTGTCTTGTGACATTTGCATATATGAATTAAGACAGAATTGTGCTGGTCTAAAAAATTAACTGAGTTTTGGAGTACAATACACAGAAACATCCAATTATGTATAATAACATACTATGTCATGTAACTGTCATTACAAGACAGTGGCGAGAGCATTATTTAATAATAGATGCTGGGATAATTATTTTTCTATTTTTAAAAGCAAACAAACAATAAAAAGTACATTAGCTTATTCAAAATAAATATTTAAATGAAATTAAAAATGAAGGAAGAAAATATATTGAATATGTTTCTGACAGATTTTCAGAATAGACAGATTTTCATAAGTAAATTGTGAAATAACAATGAGACAAATAATATGCAGCTATCAGAAATAGTAAATGGTAGTCAGATATCCAGCTTTCTTTAATTTGTATTTTTTAATAAGAACAAAATAATAATTTAATAAAAAAATGAAACACCTTGTTTTGTTGTTTATACTGATTTTCTTGTAACTTTTATCAGGGAAAAATACTTCAGTTAAATATAATGAACCTATGTCATCTCAAAAAATGTAAAGAAAATAAAAAAAATAATAAAGAAATACAGTAAAATTGGGCCTAGGATCCAGAAATTGGATGGAGTAATACTGATAATGAGAAATATATTATTATTCAAAATATAGAACTTAGCTAAAAGATCCTTTAAAAATAAAATTTTATTTTACTTTTTAAAGATTTTATTTATTTTTAGAGAGAGGGGAAGGGAGGGAGAAAGAGAGGGAGAAAAACATCAATGTGTTATTGCCCTTTGTGTGCCCCCTGCTGGGGACCTGGTCCACAATCCAGGCATGTGTTCTGACTAGGAATCGAACTGTGACCCTTTGATTCTCAGGCCAGCACTCAATGCACTGAGCCACACCAGCCAGGGCAGAAAATAACATTTTAATTTGGACACTTTTCTAAAACTTACTAACTTCAAATTTGAAAGAGTATCCTTGCTCCTTGTAATTTATATTAATTCCCCAGAAATTATTAAACTGAAATTAGAGAAATAGTTCATTTAAATTTTTTTTTCTGATAACAATCTCTAGGAAAGACCACTTTCTTAAAAAACATACTGCTTAATATCCCGACTGCTTAAATAAAATTGAATATCCCTACTGCTTAAAAATCCATAGTGCTTAAATAAAATGAAATATTAATTGATATTTAAAATGTTCAGATCATTTGTAACAAATTTTAAATATCAATTTCCCATGAAGTATAAAGCCCATCTATAAGAATTTTGCTATATTAATCTCCAAAATGGTGGAATTAATATGTATACAGTAAGTTTTACCCCAAACATTTAAAATTCAATTCAAGAGCATTACCTAAAACTTGTTTTTTTAACTTTAAGTGCAGTCTTCTTGTAGTAATTGGTTCTTTTTTTCCCATTACATAGGAGCAGGACTTCTACAAAGGACCTGAAAGAAGATTGGAGTATTGATACATCAGTCAAAGAAGTCAAACCCAAAGAAGAGAGAGGTAAAGTTGGACTGCATTTAGATAAGTGTATTTATATTTGAACGATCATTGATTTTTCATTTAATATATTTGTAATTTTCACAATAATGTTTAATGTTTTATAATTCTTACTATTATCTAATAAAGAGCCTTCTATCTAATTTGATTAAACATTTATTCAACAAACATTATTAATGAATATTATCTACCATATACTTGTCTAGGTCCTGAGTGTATAACAATCCCAGCCTATCTCTCAAGAAGCTAACTTATAATTCCAATACTGTGCAATAGAACTTTCTGTGATAATCAAAGTGTTCTATGTCTATAATGTCCAATGAAATATCAGCCACATACAGTTTTTGAGTACTTGAAATATGGCTAGTAAGACTGAGGAATTTAATTTTTAACTTCAACTTTAACTTAGATTTAAATGGAAATAGTCATATGTGGTTCATGGCTACCATATTGGACACCACAGCTCTACTGTTCGTAGAAATTAAGATTAATATTTTTGTCACAATTTACAAAGTATAAAATAATTTATATACTGGAATAAAATGTGTGTTAAAATTCTTCAATATATTTGAATATATTCTTGATACTATATTATATGATAAATGCTAGGAGAAAAAATTAATATTAACAGTCACAATAACCATTAAATTAACCTAGTTATATTTATTATAAACATGTGTATTTGACTTTAAAACACAAGATGGTATTGAGGTAAGGAAAATTTATTGTAAATGTTTATCCTAAAAGATGTCAGATGGTTACTCACTAATTCAGTATAAAACAGTAAAATTAATTGAGATAGTATTCTAGAAAAAAACATTAGAGAGATATTAACTACAATGGGTTGGAGTCCCCCCAAATTATAAACACAGCATATACTTTAGAATACGATGATAGAAGCAGTATAAAAGACATCTTGTAAAAACCTAATGGATGTCTTTGAACACAAATTTATCCAGTCAGAAGTGGCATTAACTTCATCACGTGTTTCAGACTGAAATCTTATTATAGAAATTTAATGGATCATATGGTGGCTAGAGAAGCCAGTGTTTAATGTGTATATTGTGATAAAAATACAGATAATTAAGAATATGAAGTTTTCAGGATGTGGTAGCATTGAAAAAAAAAATAAGGTAACAGACTGAATAAATAGAGACCAAATAAGGGACCAGTGTGGAAAAAAAAAATAAGTTTATGCATTGCAATGAAGAAACCTGTTTTTCAAGAATTTTTTTTTTCAGGTAGAATGCTGAATTTATTTGATGAGACCATAGCTAAGAAGTCAGAACTGTGTGACTACTCAGCTTACACTTGTAACTGTTCCATAATACTACCTTCTTGCAGAAAATTATTGTCTTAATTGTCTGAAAACAAAACAAGAGAAAACAAAGATCTATTAGTTTGCTTTCTTCTTTATCCAATTTTACTGTTTTCTCAGCTTCAGTGCTTTGGGGGCTATGTCTTTTATTGAGACTGTGTTTGCTTATGTCTTCTCGTTACATCACATTTTGGCAAAAGTCTCTGTTTACAAGCAGAAATGTCACCAGAGTGGGGCACATATCCACATTCCTTACTGATCTGTTTCCAGGGAGAGAACAGATTGCCTAGAACAGAACAGGTTCTCTATCCATTTCTTGCATAAATAGGTGAATGAATAATCATATTGATCATTTCATTATCATTAAACCTTATCATTTCAGACCTGTGAACCAGGAATCACAAATATCTCTCATTAAGGAAGTACATTTGTATTATAACTGAATAAATGGGATTTATAAACAGCAATGAAATTTTGGCAAGGGCTAAGTAGGGATGTTATTACCTGATAAGGTAAAGAATATTGTGTCTTGTTTCTAGGAACCATCTGAGGTTTTCCAATATTTATCTGATGTAATAATTATAATTTACTTTTCTCATAGAATCTGAGGAAACAGCATAATTTTAAAACACAGCTTGTAAATAGAACATGTATTTTTTCCTCCAGATAAAATATGCATAAAAATATTTGTTGAGATTTAGTTATTCTATTTATTTTATAAAATATTCATGAAAAAACTGTCTTTCACAATTTATAATCAATGTGTTTGCATTATGATAAGCAGTCTTTAAAAAGCTAATTCATTTTTTAAAATCCTCTTATTTTATATATCAATATTAAATATAGTGATATTACTAGTACCCATGTACTCACTGCCCAGTTTATAGGCTAATTCATTAAACAACCATGAATTTGCATTCTTATTTTAAGATGAGAAGTGTCCAGAATTAAAGCAGGAAATGGAAACATTGCTATCAGAGGCCATTCATCTCATTAAAAGTCTAGAAACTGACCGTGCAGAAGCTGAAGAAGCTTTAAAAAAACAACAATCGAGAAGGAAAAGGATAAAAATGACAATTGATTCTTGGTCAATCTGGAGACTTCAAGAACTCCCTTTAGCTGTGCAGAAAGGTAGTAATAAGGATTTTCTTCATACTGTCTTTTACTTTGTTAGGCATGTTTGCGGCTGTGAGTAAAAAACGACTGTTTTAGTGACCATATTATTTTGCATCCAAATTGGTTCACTTTCGATAAGTGCTATTAATGATAAGGCTTAGTTGGAAGGAACACATTGAGAAAACCTGGATCTGCTGTCATTTGGTGTTTGAAATTCCATACACTTTACGGTGCTCAAGGGAGGTGCAAACGTTTGGCACATGTTTCATATAATGACTACAGTATTTGAGGACTAGATATTTAAAGTGATTGCTGGTTTAGTGTTATTTTCTATGTCTTTAAATATAGGAAAACGCAAGAGTTCTAAGTGATATTTTAGCAACTACATGCATCTGTTTTAGAGAATGCAGTAGTAAATTTTATTGGTAACTTCTAGCAGGCAATAAAATTTAAGATGTTTGCAAGAGTTGTGTAGGTAACAAATGTTTCAAAAGATTAATGCTATCTTTTAGACTACATGGTGAGGGACCATTGATAAAATATTTAACAATCTAAAAGCATTAGATATTTTATTTCCAGACACTGTGTCTATCTATCAAAACAAGCCTGACTACATGATTCTGCCTGAAGCTGGAAGTTGCTTTTGCTATCATAGGGTAAAAATTTTAATTCAGGATTCACATGTTTTATAAATGGGTTATATCAGGGTGCTTATGTAACCTATCATTTAAACCAAGACACCTTTACTAGAAAAAGTAATGCTGTTATTCATTATTACTCTGGGATAACAGCTGTTATCTCAATAACGTGTCAAATAACATGTCAACTGAACTCATACATATACCTGTTATAAATCTTCTAAAACTGTAGTCTTTAAAGTAGGGGGTACACATGTCAGGGAATGGCAAGAAATTATTAGAATTTTAAAAATATTTTTAAAATTTTTTCTTGGTTATTTGGGTTTTAATTTTGTTTTTATAGTGCCTGACAAAATACTATTATCCAGTGGTTCCTCAACTATGTTATTTTAATAAAATAAATGATACATAGGTTGAATGGCTTTCTCTCCTCTTAAAGTAACACTGAGCTCACAGGTTGAACTCGCTCCTTTTGTTTACCTCTTCTGGAGAAGAACTGAAGAAGCAGGAAATGGGACCGTAACCTAGTCTGGAATGACTTTAATCCAGACTGCGTCTATGCTCTTTTTCGCCCTTTACTAATGAGTTAACTGTACAAATTATGCCACAACACCCGAAGTTCAGATAAGAGTTGGTCTTTCTCTGCCCAAAGGAGTGCATTTTATCTCAGATAAAATTCCAAGGAAAGGGGTTGCTCAGTCGCAAATACCATAAAACACACAAAGATCCAGATTATATGAGTACAAATCAGTAGAAACAGATAACAGACTTACTCAAAAAGTTTTCAGATATTGGACTATGCAGATTATAAAATAAGCATGTTTAATATGTTTCAAGAAATAAAAAGAAGTTTGAAAATAAAAATATGAACTAAGAGACTATTTTTAAAGGAAAGCAAAAATGGAAATAAAAAAAGACTTACTAAAAATGTAAATTATATTCCTTAAAATTAATAAGACAGTGTTTGGTTAAATTGTTTATTAGACAAGGAAACGTAACAGTGAGCTATAAAATTTGAGGAAATTACATGGAATGCATTACAGCTACACAGGAGGAGAAAAACATAAGCATTTAAAAGCATGATGTATAAAATGAGAAGGTATAATGAATATTTAATAGAAAACCTCAATGGAGATTATAATGGTAAGACTTAACAAGATAATGACTGATTTTTTTAAAACAAAGTTAGAATGGCTATATATGTGTATATATTGGTTGAAATAAACAGAATTATACTAAAACAGTTATGAACTTATAAAACAAATATTATAATCCTTCAGTGATGAATGCAGAGGGCAATATATTTTATAATGCAATAATAAGATAACTTTCTGTTATTATTATTGAATGTCTAGAACATGAGGCCTTTTTGAGAGATACTATAGAATTACGATGGCATCTTGAAGGAAAAGGTCCTCAGCTAACACATTTGGAGGAAGAAAAGACAAAACTGGAAGAAGCTAATGCAAAGCTTCAGGCAGATATAGATTATATGAATGAACATGGTCCTCAACTGAATTCAAAGTTGATCCAGGAACTTGAAGCTCTGAAGGAATATCATAAAAAAAAAAGTGAGGTAACTGAATAGATGAATGGATATACATTATACAAATTGTTACTTAGTTTCACAAAAATATTTCAACTCTAATGGCTTAGTGGATTGAGTGCCAGCCTGTGAACCCTAAGGTCGCTGGTTTGATTCCCAATCAAGGCACATGCCAGGTTTGCAGGCCAGGTCCTCGGTTGGGGGCCTGCAAGAGGCAACCAATAGATGTTTCTCTCTTACATTGATGTTTCTCTCCCTCTCTTTCTCCCTCCCTTCCCCTCTCTCTAAAAGTAAATAAAATCTGAAAAATTTTTTAAAAAAATTTCATCTCTAAGAAGTTAATATATCTTTAAAAGTTCCCTTTTCATGGAAGATTGACTTGCTATTTATTACCCAAAGGAATTATTAAAAACATACAATATAGTTGGTTAGTAGTCAGATCAACTGTCTGGCCTTATCATACTTTTATACTTAAGGGTATTAATAATATTTATTCAACCTACTAATAAAATATTGGAGATTTAAAAAAATGGTAATTTTTGAAATTGTAAATAGAACTGAGGGAGGGAGAATGTAAGTAGACTATAGCAGTCATTTTCATTGTTGATGAAAATAAATGAAGTATTTTTAATGATTAATTATCATTTAACTCTCCTATTTCCAGGATTATATTATAGAAAAATTAGTTACTTATACCTGCTACAAAATGAACAAATTTAACTATGGATCATATTTAATAATTTTAAAGTAAATAAAGTCAAATATATCCTGTATTTCCCTCAACGATTCCATTTTCTTCCTTCATTCTCCAAAGACAACTTTTTCATGAAATTGTCTCTAGGCAAAAATTATATATTTTTATACATATTCGTGTATTTATGTGCAATACCTAGTATTTTTAATTTTCAAATAGTATAAAATGTTGTATAACTTTCTGCAAATTGTTTTTTAATCTGACATTATTTTAGAGATCCAGCTTCTGTTGATATATATCAACATGTTTCATTCATTTTACTCACCATGTCTTATCAAATAGATATCTCACAATTTATTATTTACTGTTTTCTCTTCTCTTGGTCATCTGAGTTGTTCCCAATATTTCGTGGGAACAATACTGATTTGACTGGAAACAGTAAGCTACCATGATCATGTGTCCCTCCATGCACCTGTGAACTTTTCTTGGATATATAACTAGTGGGGTATTTAGTGGGTCATTGGTCATACACATTTTTAACTTTATAAGTTCAATTGCTCTCTAGAGAGTCTCTAACAATTTATATTACTGGCATAGTAACAGTGCTGGAGATTTTCCATTTGTCCACCATGGACAAGAATTTTAGTATTCTTCTTCCTTATATAGTTTAATAGCTATGTGTCAGGTTAAAAGTCATTTCCCAATTTCCTTTTTCTCATGGTGTTTCTAATGAGATGTAGGTAGCATTATTGACCGGGTTTTTACTGAAACCCAGTCCTAACTGAAACACCTCACAATTTTTTCAACTTTTTTTACTGTAATATTTAAAAATGTGTCACTGGTGTGTAAATTGGTATCTCTTTGTTCTCTTGGTGTGTTTTTCCTAGATAGTTCAAAGGCATGTTCAAGACAGGGGAAAGGAGAGTTGTTGCGCAGCTGTAAGAGCAGGCTTGCAAATGGGGAAAGAAAACCAACAAGAAAATGTATTTTAGCAGGCCAGGAAAATCGTAACATTTGTACAAAGCCTATCACAGTTGCCGTGATAGTTATTTTTTTGTCAGCTTGGCTGGGCCAAGATGGCCAATATTTTGTCAAACATATTGCATGTTTCTGTGAAGGTGTTTTGGATGAGAGTAGCATTTAAATCAGTGGACTTTGAATACAGCTGCCTACTTTCCATAATGTGCGTGGGTTTCTCCGTCAGTGGAAGTCCTGAAGAGAACAAAGGCTAAACTCATTTGGCAAGGAAGAATTCTGCCAGCAGCTGGCCTTGGGACTTGGACTGCAACTTTTCCCTGAATCTCTAGCTTGCTGGCTTACTCTGCAGATTTTGGACTTGCATTTCCACAATCATGTGAGCCAACTCCTTGAAACCATTCAGTCTCTTACCCTCTCTTCCTCCCTTCCTCCTAGGTCCCCTCCCTCCCTCTCCCTATTTCTTTGTCTCTCCATCCTGTTGGTTCTGTTTCTCTGGAGAACCTAGAGTAATACAGCCATTATTAATGCAGTGATTGCCTTTCCACTATTTCCTCATCATTGTGTCTCCCGATGCATCTTGAATTCCTGGAAGACAGTCTTCTTACCTGGCTTTAGGTCAGCTGGCCACCTTCTTGCTACTTCAGGGATCAAAGTGAGTGAGAATCTGACCCTCTTGGCTTTTGTAGTGAGAGGCACGAACTGTGATTAAATGATGCACTATTGGTATAAAATACAAGGAAATGTACTTTTCCATAATGAAATTGGGGTACTATTAAGAAAGGTTATAAGTGTCATGCAACCAAAATATGAAAACCTTCTGCTATTAGTAGTAGAAGATATCTTACAAATAAGTGATACTTTATAAAAAAGTGATAAGAAAATGCATTTTTCCTTTCATATCATGAGCATAACTGACAAAACTAAGAAATGAAAAGCAGAATTATGAGCAGTGGGAGACCCAAATACCTCCTCAGAGAGAAATAGAAATATATTCTTAGAGACAGGTTCTAAATCATGAGTTTGTGTGTCTGAATCCCAGCTATATCATTTAGATCTTAGGTGTATTTTAAACCTTTGTGCCTCAGTTTCTTTACTTATAAAATTAGTATGATAATAAGAGTGCCTGTATCATAAGCTTAATGTGCACAGAAAATAAATTACTATGTGGAAATACCTAGAATAGTATTTTCCATATATTATTAGTTCTAATTTTAAGTAGAAAATAATCTGGATGTGAATAATAACAGGAAATACAACAAATTTCCTTGAAGTAAAGTAGCTCTTTACATCTCAAATACTAGATCTAATTCTTAGTACTGATGTTCTCATAATAAATTTACTTTTGATTCCAGTTAACAAGAAGCAATTACTGTTGCTGAAAATAAAAAATAATTAACTGATGCAAACATGTATTTCCTCTGTGTTTTCTAATTATAAAACTGTTCTTGCAAGTTGTATGCTTCTGCATGCTATGTATGTGTGGCATACATAAGCAAGTGATGTATAAAACTATATGCATTATCCTTTATATATACATTTATAAATATTTTATGATAATACCAAATATTCTCAAATATAGCTAACATTACTTGGCATATAGTAAGGGCCAAAATATGTTTTAGAATGATGGGTAATTTATTGAATAGATAGTTATTTGATAAATAGTTGTGTTGCAGTTAAGGAAAAGAAAGTGTTACTTATGGTTGGTCTTTTTTTTTTTAACTCTTGCACCATGATGTCTTTTGTTAAACTAAGTTTTAAATTAATCATGATTTTAAAATTTTGCCTCCGTATCACAAACACAAAAAACATTCTGTCTTGTTCCTGAGATATTTATATTAATTCCTATTAGACATTTATGATCTGAAAATAATTATCTTTAACAAACATTGAAAAATCAAGAGCATCAAATATTATTTCTAAATGTAGGAAGATAAATTACATTAAGAGATTTTGCTCAGTGAAACCCCAAGCATCATGACTTTTGACCTCCTCAACTTCAGTGACTTATCTATCACCATTAAACTACCATTACTAATGACCAAAATTAGAAACATTCCTGAATAAACTTATATAAAATGTAAGTCCATATTTCATAATCTATACTTGTGAAATTTTATCATACAGTCTGACATCTGGCTCCACTACTTAATTTAAAAAGACTGAATTTATACAAAGTATATTCTCTGACTACAATGAAATGAAACTAGAAATCAGTAATAGAAGGAAACTGGAAATTTACAAATATGTGATAATTAACATATTCCTAAACAATGGGTCAAAGAGAGGTGAATCAAAAGGGAAATTACAAAATACTGTGAGGTAAAAGAAAACAAAATACAGCACATGGAAACTTATGGGATGCAGTGAAAGTCGTGTCCATAGGAAAAATTAATAGCTGTAGACATCTACATTTAATCAATAACCTAACTTTATACCATATGAACCTAGAAAAGAGGAGCAAACTAAACCCAAAAGCAGAATGAGGTGAATGATAAAGATCAGAGTGTGGAAAATAAACAGATAATAGGAAAACAGTACAGATAATAAAGAAATTAAAAGTTTTTTTTTAAAGGTAACAAAATTGACAAACTTTCTAGCTAGACTGATCAAAAGAAAAATGAAAGAATTCAAACTACTCAAATCAGAAATGAATGTTGGCACATTACTATAGGTACAAGCAACAAAAGAAAAAGGTAGAGAAATTAAACTTTATCAAACTTAAACACTTTCCACATGATAACAACTCAAGAAAGTGGGTGTAGAGGGAATATAAAGAACCATAAATGACAAGCCCATGGTTAACATAATAGTCAAAGGTGAAAAATCTGAAAGCTTTACTCTAAGATCAGGAATAAGACAAGGATGCCCATTTTCACCACTTTTATTCAACATATTATTTAAAGTTCTAGCTGGAGCAATGAGGCAAGAAAAGAAGTTACACAAATTGGAAAAGAGGAAGTAAAACCATTACTATTTGTATATGACAGAATATTATATATAAAAAACCCTAAAGAACCCACTCAAAAGTATGAGAACTAATAAATGAATTCAGTGAAGTTTCAGGATACAAAATTAATATACAGAAATCCATCACATTCCTATCACTAATAAGGAATAATAAGGAGATTTTTTTAAATTGCATTTACAATTGCATCAAAAAGAATACAATACTTAAAAATGAATTTAACCAAGAAGTTGAAAGATTTGTATCCTGAAAACTGTAAGACATTGAAAAGTAATTGAAGAGGACACAAAAAGTGAAAGGATATACTGTGCTTATAGATTGGAAGAACTAATATTGTTAACATGTCCATACTACCCAAAACAATCTACAGAGGCAATAGAATATCTATCAAAACTCTAGTGGCATTTCTCACAGAAACAGAACTAAAAAACACTCTAAACTTTGTATGGAAATACAAAAGACCTTTAATAGCTAAAACATTCTGGAGAAAGAAAAACAAAGCTGGAGGTAGCACACTTCCTGATTTCAAGCTATATTACAAAGCGCTAGTAATTAAAACAGTATGGTATTTGGCATAAAACACAGAAACATAGATAAATACAACAGAACAGAGAATCCAGAAATAAACCCACATATATGTAGTCAATTAATTTACCATGAGGGAGCCAAGTATATACAATGGAGAAAGGATTGTCTCTTCAGTAAATGGTGCTGGGAATACTGGACAGCCACTTGCAACAAAATAATGAAACTGGACCACTGTTCTAAATCATACACAAAAATTAACTCAAAATGGATTAAAGACTTTAATGTAATACCTGAAACCATAGACATTTTCTTAGAAGAAACTAGGCCGTAAGCTCTTAGACATCCATCTTAATGAAGATTTTAGGACTTCACACCAAAGGCAAAGGCTGAAAAGAGAAGAGAAGAGAAGAAAGAGAAGAGAAGAGAAGAGAAGAGAAGAGAAAAAAGAGAAAAGAAAAGAAAAGAAAAAAAACAAAAACAGGTAGGACTACATCAAACTAAAAAGCTTTCGCTCAGATTAAAAAAGTAACAAAATGAAAACACAACCTACTGAATGGGAAGAAATATTTGCAAATCATTTATTTGATAAAGAGTTAATATCCAAAATATATGACTTTTAGCACTCAATATGAAAAAAAGCAAACCCTCTACTTCAAAAATGGGCAGAAGATCTGAATAGACATTTTTCAAAGAAGACATACATATGTCCTAATAGATGTAAGAAAGGATGTTCAATATCACTAATCATCAAGGAAATGCAAATCAAAACTACTATGAGATGCTACTTCTCATATTAGAATGGCTATCAGAAATAAGAAATGTGTTTCTGGTCAAAATGGTGGTATAAGTAAATCCAATACTTGAATCCTCCCATAACTACATCAAAATGATAACTAAATTACAGAAAAGCCATCATTCAGAAATGCATGAAATCTAGCTGAATAGAAGTCCTATAACTAATGTTATAGAGAAGAGGCCACATCGAGACTAGTAAGGCAGGCAGCAGAGACACAGAATGGCCTGGCCTCATACTCAGTGTGGCAGATAAAAATTGGGAGGGATATCTCAGCTTCAGAGGACCACTCTGTGGAGCAAGGGGTCTCAACCCCACACCAGAACCCCAATCCAGGGTTCCAGTGCCAGTAAGAGAAGTCCTTATAACTTCCTGCTGTAAAAACTAGTGGGGATTGTGGCTGAGGGAGGCAAAGGGCTCCTGGGGTCCCAAGCACCCTTATAAAGGGCCCAAGCATGGACTTACTTGGATTCATTTGCTCTGAGCACCAGCACTTGGGGAGCAGCTTGAAAGGCACCAGACATATGGAAGGAACTGAATTATCTGGCATCAGGGAAAGAGTTGGAAGGGCAGCTTGCTCCCAGACAGAAGTGCTGGCAGAGGCCATTGTTCCTTTCCTGAGCCCTCTTCCCAGAGTCAACAGGTGGACACCATATCTGAGTCTTTATAACCTGGCTAACACTGTTCACCCTGACCTGGTGATTCCCTGGGACCCAGCCCCACCCAGCTAGCAGGCTCACCCAAACCATTTCTAGTGACTTTTCCATACAAAGAACTTCTCTTGGTTTATGCTGGGGACTTTACTCAAATCTGTCAAACAAGCAGCATCTGGCCTCAGTGTATACTGTACATCTTGCCAAGTGGTGCCAGGCCTGGCATTAGTGGCAGCTGGCCTTGGTTCACAGCTTGGACTCTCCTGGGTACCTCCAAGACAAGAGCAAGTAGCAAGCATCTGCATATTGCTTTGTAGCTCAAGCCAGCTTGCCCCAGGCAGGCCACAAGTGGCAGCTGACCTTGGCCTGTAACTCCTGGGAGTCCCCAGTGACAGCACACTTGATTGACAACTTAAGACCATATGGAAGTATCATCCAAGCACCTCCACAAGCAACACACTCAAGGGGGAGGCTCAGCAGGCACCAGAGCCCTGCTGAAGTAAGTCCTGCTCTGCTCCATGGGGTTGGCCCTGCACAGCTGATCCTCCACAGTCATCATAGCCTGTCCTCACAGCCAATAAGCCTGGGGGTAAATTTCTCCCATGGAGGTGCCAACACCAATAAAGCCTGAACTACAAGATGGTGTCCACAACTGACATGAGGGATGCACCTGGAGCGCCCAACTTGGGTGACCAGGGAGACTGTGCCACGGGACCCTCCAGGACACCTACTACATAAGGCTACTCTACAATGCCCAGGAGGTGTAACAGCTCTACCTAATACATAGAAACAAACACGGAGAAGCTGCCAAGATGAGGAAACAAAGAAACATGTCATAAATCAAAGAGCTGAACAAAACTCCAGAAAGAGAACTAATCAAAATGGAGACAAGCAATCTACCAGATGCAGAGTTGAAAACACTGATTATAAGGATGCTCAATGAACTGAAGAGAAGAGTAGATGAACTTAGTGAGAACTTCTTCAAAGACATAGGAAACATAAAATTAGATAGAAAACACAAAAAAGAACCAGTCAGAAATGAAGAATATATTAAAGAGAATCAACTTCATCCATTAAAGTGGAGTAGATAAAGCAGAGGATCAAATCAGAAATTTGGAAGATAAGGAAGCAGAGAACACCCAATCAGAACAGCAAAAAGAATCCAAAAAAATGAGGGTAGTATAAGGAGCCTCTGAGACAACTTCAAGCATACAAACATTTGCATCTGAGGATGCTCAAAGGAAAACAAAGAGCTAGGAATTGAAAATCTATGTGACAAAACAATGACAGAAAAGTTCCCTATCCTGGTGAAGGAAGTAGACATACAAGTTCAGGAAGTGCAGAAAGACCCAAACAAGGTGATCCTAAAGAGGCTCACACCAAAACACATCATAAGTAAAATGCCAAAGGCTAAGGACAAAGGGAAAATCTTAAAAGCAGCAAGAGAAAAGCAGTTATCTACACGGAGCTCCCATGAGAGTGTCACCTAATTTCTCAACAGAAACTTTGCAGGCCAGAAGGGATTGGCATCAAATATTCAAAGTGATGAAAAGCAAGGGCTTAAAACCAACATTACTCTACCCAGCAATATTTAGAATAAAATGATAAAGTGCTTCCCAGACAAGAAATTAAAGGAGTTCATCATCACCAAACCAGTATTACAAGAAATGTTAAAGCATCTTCTTGAAGAAGAAGAAGAAGAAGAAGAAGAAGAAGAAGAAGAAACAATAAAAAATATGAATAATAAAAAGGCAACGAATACATATTTATCAACAATTACTTTAAAAGCAAATGAATTAAATGTTTGAATCATAAGACGTGTGGAGATGAATGGCTAACAAAACAAGACACTTACATATGCTGTCTACAAGAGCTTTAGATCAAAAGACAGACTGAAAATAAAAGGATGGAAAAGATATTTCATGAAGATTGAAATGAACAAACAAAAAGCTGGGGGAGCAATACTTATCCTAGATAAAATTGACTTTAACACAAAGGCTGTATAACAAGAGACAAAGAAGGACCCAACAATTCCACATCTGGGTATTTATCTGAAGAAACCCAAAACATGAAATCACAAAGATATATGCATCCATATGTTCATTGAAGCATTATTTACAGTAGTCAAGATATAGAAGCACCCTTAGTTTCCACTCATAAATGAATGGATAAAGAAGTGGTGCATATATACAATGTTATATGTCTTAGCCATAAAAAAGGGAAATCTTTCCATTTTCAACAACTTGGATGGACCTGGAAGACATAATGCTAAGAGACAGAAATCAGAGAAAGACAAATGTTGTGTGAACTTATTTATATGTGCAATAAAAAAAGAGAGAGCAAAAACTATATAGAAGCTCATACATACGAAGAACAGATTGGTGTTTGCAAGAGGGGGTGAGAGGTGGAAAAAATGGATGAAGGGAGACAAAAGATAAATATTTCCTATTATAAAGTAAGTCCTGGAGATTTAATGTGCAGCATGGCAACTATAGTCAAATATTTTTTGTATTTGGAAGTTGCTAAGAAGTAAACCAATTGCTTACATAATGCAAGGCACACAATGCATTATACAGATCATGTATCATAAAAATGTATGCTTGAAGCCTATATGATCTTGTTAATCAATGTCACCCTAATAAATTTCATTAAAAAAGAAGTCTAACAATTTTTTAGAAGAGGCTAAATATGGGAAGAAAATTGTTATAAAGAACTTTTTATTTCAATAAGAACTACTGTAAGTTTGTCCTTTTTCTGATCTTCCTCTTGTCTGATTCTTTTAATTAGCCATTAAGTGCATATATTAACAAAATATTTTTATTTCTAGGTAATGGAACTGTACAAACAAATTCATGGAGAACTTAAAGAAGCTATAGAAAACTATGAAAATACCAAATTGAAAGCTAAACAAATTAGAGAAGAAATGGAAAAAGATATTCATGATAATGAAACAAGCATAGAAACCTTTAAGTAAGATTTTTTTCACAAATCCTACTTATATCATTTAGAATAATTACAATATTAATTAAAATGTAATTTATGTTTCTGTCTAAAAATTTATGTAAAGAGAAGGGAATAAATCTAAATTACCCACATTATCCATCAAGTTTATATATAAATTAAAATATGTATCTTTACATATGTCAGTCTATTTGTGTGTAAATTCCTAAAGCTAAAGCATTGTTTTTCAGTGTCATTTAAAAGCTCTTGCCCTTGCTGGTGTGGCTCAGTCAACAGGGTGCCGGCCTGCAAACTAAAGGGTCCTCGGTTCAGTTCCCAGTTACGGTACACGCATGGGTTGCAGGCCAGGTCCCCAGTAAGGGGCTCACGAGAGGCAACCACATATTGATGTTTTTCTCTCTTTCTCCCCCCTTTCCCCTCTCCCTAATAATAAATAAATAAAACCTCTTAAAAAATAAAAAAAAGTAAGAGCTCTTTATATATCTTGCCAAATTGTCTATGGGTATCATATAACAATATATATCCCTGCTATCTATGTGCAATAGTGACTATTTAAAAAAAGTTTTTCAGCATGGGATATTATTAAAAACAAATTATATAGCCTTGTATTAATTATAAACATAGCATCTAATAATTTTAATTTTTATTTGATTTTTTATTTGATTTATAATAAAATAGAATATTTAAATATATATAGACTATATTTTGCATGTATGTAGTTGAAGTGGTTTTTATTTTATTTTTGATGTATTTGTGTTTTATGACATTTGTTTAATTCCTCTTGTTGGCTTTACATTTTTTTATGGTTCTGTGTGACAGGAAAACTTTATTCAAATTGATCGATGATTTAGTATAGAAAACTCATATTCATATAAGCTGGCATCACAGATTAGCATTGATCTTTTCTGTGGTCCTTTTCTCAGGAACAAAGGACACCTTGGCAATTACCTCTTTAAAATAAGCCTCCTTTTATCCTAAATTGCAATTTCCTCTGTTTTACCTCTAAGACTATGTGGTCTTTTCATTTTTACATCTTTTCTTCTTTCTTTTATTTTTTTCTTGCTGTTCCATCCCTGTACTATCTAACCTCTGAATCAAAAGTCTTTCACCTGAAACCAAATCAAAGACTGATTTATTTTAAATAACTTACAAATCACTTTTCTCTCATTTACTTTAAATTGGAAACATAAATACTACTGATGAATATTTTTCTCACTGTTTAGTTTTGATATCTAAGTGGTGCTTTTCAGAAGTTGTTTTGGGATAGAGGAACATTTGGGAATACATGAATTTCATTGATTTACATTAAGTCAGAAACTAACTTAAATGTACCTAATTTTAAATATAATTTACTTTTCAATTACAATCAACTGTGTGTTTTTTTCCTCTTAGGAAAAAGATAGAACAACTTAACTTTCTGTACAGTCACTATAATACGTTAATTCAAAATATTCAAATTATTATTGAGGAGAATGAAGAGGCCATAACAGAAATATTGAAGGAAAGAAAGATATCAACAAATGAATTATCTGCTTTAAGGAAAAAGGTAAGTTTTCATGTTTAAAAATAAAAAAAAAATACTGAGTTTGGTTTGAACCACACTATTAAAACATAGTCTCTGTCAAGAATTAAATAGCAGGTAGCCAACTTTCTGTCTATATTGGTTTTCTATAGCTGCAAAATAAATTACCAGAATTTTAGCAGCTTAAAACAGCACCCATTTATTATCACTGGGTTTCTCTAGGTCACGGTTCAGCTGGTCCCAGTCCTCCAGAGCTTCCTAGACTGAAATCAGAGTCAGCAGCCCTGCATTTCTTTCTTGAGGCTCCAGGGTTAATCTGCTTTCAGGCTCATTAAGTTTTGCCACAGTACAGTCCTTACAGTTTTAGAACTGAGGTCCTCATTGCCTTAGTGATGGTCAGCGTGGGATCATCTCCTGTTTGCAGAGATTGTCTGCATCCCCTGGCTGGTGGTCCCCTTCATCTTTAAACCAGGAATGGTGGGTTGAGTCGTGTCATGCTTGGTATCACTCTGGCTTTCCCTTGTGACTCACCTTTCCCCTTCCCCTTCTGATGCATCTCATTCACTGTATTAAGAGGATATAATAGTACAAGGAAATTATGAAATGGTAAAAAGATAAAGGTAAAAGGTAAAAATAATAGTATCTTAAAGGGCAATAATATACAAGATCTTGTACCAATTTGCATTCCTACCTGGAGTTGCAATGTCTTTTTTGCTACTTTCTATTATGTCTCTGTAATTATATCTCATTTTAAAAAAATTAATCCATAATATTAATGAGCTGAGCATATTTTAATGGCTTTTGAGAGGTCATTTGCATTTTCTCTTATTTATTTATTTATATTTCTTTTTTCATGTAAAATCTGCTCATGATTTTTCCCTTATATGTTGAGTAATTGCTTATTTTTTATTGATTTGTTGTATATTATGGATACCAAATAGTTTAAAGTTACATATGTTAAAAATATTATCACCCAGTCCTTTTTACTTCTTTAGGATAACTCCTGATGAACAAAATTTTAATTTAGTACAAGGTAGAAATAATTTTATCTGAACTTTTATGAACTTGGGGAAGAAATTTTTTCTACCTCAAAGTCAAATAAATAATCTGTGATATTTTATTGCAAATGATTTGAAATTTTGTTTTTCATATTTACACAATACCCTTAGATGAAACTATGCTTAAAATATTCAAAACTGAGTCTTTTTTCCTATATTTTATTTACAAGTTTTGAAGTAGTAAACTATCTCTAGAATGTTAGGAATGCAAATTTTGCTTACCAGATGGGAAACATAATCAATATGAAATTCATTTATGGGTATGGTATGAAGTAAGGTTCTAATTTTTCTTATGTAGAAAAATGTTACAATTCAATTTATTGTATTTATTTATATATTAATATTCAGTGCCATCTCCTACACATAGGAGGCTTCTGTATTTGTATGGTTCCCTTTTTCCATTCTGTTTTTATTCATTTGATTTACTTAACCAACTTTACCTTAATACTTAAAGTCTACATTACTAAACTTCTATAATGAATTTTGATTATTTATTATGGTGAATCCCTTAGTCTCTTATCTTTTTTTATGAGATATAGGCTAATCTTGACCTTTGCTCTTCCACATAAATTTCAGTATTATTATGTTATGTTCACTTCCTTCAGAGATTTTATTTGAGTTATGATTGGAATCACATTATTTATGGATTATTTGATAGAAGATTTATATCTTTATTTTGGAGATCCTTAAACATAAACATGACCTATCTCTCCACTTATTTGAGTAGTTTATTTAAATTGGACCTTAACTAATATCCTTGGAACTTTGTAGAGGCAAAATCTGCAAATGAGCCTATGATCTATCTTGGACAAATTAACCCTTATATTTCCACTCGATTTTAAAGTTATCTAATTGTTTTTTAATATGATTCTTACTTTTTCATGAAGGTAATCTATATAGTAAGTAGTATTTATAATTTATTAAGGCTTAATTTGTAACCTACTATATGGGTAATTTGCATAAACATTTTATTTGGGAAAATGTTTTCTGTAATAGTGGTATGTAATTCTGAATAGTTTTTTTTGAATTATGATAACTGTATTATTTAAATCTTTTATATTTCTGATTTGTTTTCTGACTGATATAGTAATTACTACAGAAGCTGTATTAAAATATCTTAGTATGATAGTGGGTTTCTGTTTCTCATTTCTAATCTTATTCTTCTGCATGATTCCAGCTTTTTGAAACTTATTATGATTTGTTTTATAGCCTAACATAAGGTTTTTCCTGGAAAATGCTCTACGTGCACTTAAGCAATATATTATTATTCTCCTCTTTCTGCATAAAGTGTTATGTAAATGTCTGTTAAGACTCATTGTTGCTTAGTGTTGTTCAAGTCTACCTTGTTAATGTTCTCTCTCATCTTATTCATTTTTTAAGGTATATATTGAAGTCTCTATTTTTGTTGAATTGCCTGTTTTTCTCCTTAAATTCTTTCAGCTTGTTGCATCATGTATTTTGTGGTTTTGTTCTTTGGTGCATCTATATTTGTAATTGTTATATCTTCTTGATTAATTGACTGTTGTCATAAAATATCTCTAGTAACAATTCTTATTCAAAAGTGTATTTTGTCTGATATTAATACAGCCACTCTAGCTCTTCTTGACTATGGCTTTCATGGTATTTTCCCCCACTTTTTACTTGCAACATACTTCTGTTTTTTAATCTAAAATGTGTCTCTTATAGACAGTGTATGATGTGGTCATTTTTAAAAAGTTATTTATTTTGTAAATTTCTATAGATTGATTGAAGTGTTTAATCCATTTACATTTAATATAATTATTGTTAAGGTAGGATATATGTCTATCACTTTTGCTGTCTTATGTTTCCTCTATTTGAGCACTAAATAGATATTTCTTAGTGTGCTATTTCAATGACCATATCATCCATTTTACTATTATTTAAAAGTTAATTTCATAGTAGTTTTCCTGAGATTACAAATAATAACTTATAAAAAAACTATTTTGGACTAATACTAACTTAAATTTAATAGTATACAAAACTTTGCTTTTCTATTGCCCCTACCACTCTGCATTTGTTTGTGCTTTTATTGTACAAATTACTTTCTTATACATGTGTAGCCATCAACCTAAATTTATATATAATTACCACTCTATACTGTTGTCTTTTAAATCTGGTAAGAAATATTGTGTTACAAAATAATAAATTCATGGCCTTTTAATATTATCTATGAAGTTGTGTTTACTGATATATTTTTTCTTTTATATTCAGGTTACTGCCTAGTGTTTGTTTTCTTTCAGCCTGAAGGGCTCCCTTTAGTGTTTCTCATAGGACAGATCTCCTAGTGACAATCTTCTCAGTTTTTTATTATATGGCAAATTCTTAATATCTTCATTTTTAAATGAAAGTTTTGCATAATTATTATTAGGGGGGATTATTAGGGGTTTTTTTTGAACTTTGAATATGTTAGCATATACCTTCTTGTCCCATGGTTTTGAATGATAAAGTCGGTATTAATCTTGTGAAGATCCTTTGTGTGCGAAATGTTATTTCTCTCTTGCTATCTTTTCACTGACATTTTCTATTTTTTTTTTAGTTCCTTAGACATTTACCTTTAGCACTTTGCACATATTTAAAATAGATGATTGGACTAATAAATTCAACATCTAAACTTTTTCTGACACAGTTTCTATTGAATGTTTTTTTTCCCCTTTTATGACATCCATCTTTCTTGGTTTTTACATGTTCCATACTTTTGTTGAAAAATGGACATTTCAAATAATATAGTGTAGCAACACTGAGATTAAGATTCTCACTCCTCCCCTGGTTTTGTTCCTTTTTCTGTTTGCTTCATGACCTTTATGAATGAAGTTTGCAAAGTCTGTTTTCTTTGTCATGTGTGAAATTTCTTCTCAGTTATCTTAGTGGTCTATTAATGATTAGACAGTGATCCTTAAAAGTTCAGAAACAATAAATCTTGTCTTTGCCAAGGGATTTTCTGTGCTCATTTAGGCACATCCTCAACAAGCATTTAGACAGTTGTCAATGCTGCCCTAGTTTTCACTTTCTACTTTCATAGAGTGTCAAAGTCAGCCAGAGATGAGAACTTGAAGGACTTCTCAGGTATCAGCAGTACAGGTGAACAGCCCTGGGTTTTTGCACATTCTTGTGCATTTGCAGTCTTCCAGATTCTCAGGAATATGTTGGAGATTTACAAAGTCACTATACACATCTCATTCTCTTCAGAAGCTTCTGTTTTTAAGTTTGTTGGTTAATCTATTGTTTTCCCCAATTGTTGTCCACAAAAGTGGGCAGAAATTTTAATTAATTGCCTGTGATTATTTTGTGTGTGTGTGTGACAATCACGCGTTGGGAAAAACTCTTGGAGGAGACTTTTTGTATTGGATGAGTTTTGTATTAAATACAGACATCCTTGCAGGTGGAGTCTTCCAAAAACAAAAACAAAAACAAAAACAAAACAAAACAAAACTCACCAAACAGGATAAAGAATGAAGCTTTGAAGGCATTCCAGTTCTGTTCTACAACCTCTGGTGGTTGCCTGACTGCAGGTGTTCTCCACAAACGTGGGGTATTATTCTTCAAGGCTAACAAGGACCAGAGGAGGGAGGGATTAGGACAAGTTAAAAAGCCACAAAGCTCATACTTCTAAGATTAGTCTGTTTTTCTTTAATAAATTCACCTTAGATTGCTGAAAGCTTTCTGTTAATCTCCATAGTTCTGAGAAAGTTAATTTGGGCATTTTTTGCCATTTTTCTTATTACTTATATGGAAGAGAATTTTCAGATGTTCTTACTCTGCTATTGATTAAAATAGTATAAAATAATACCATAGGCTGTTACTGACACCCTTCACTAAGACTATCATAGAATGCTGGGCTTTTATTTCACATTTTTCAACAGCCTTATTTTTCCTTTGGTATTGTTTATGATAAAATATGCTGTCAAACATGTCAACAGATCTTCTTGGTTTACTTGGCAAGGTAATATTCTCATTTTGCACCAGATTAAACAAATAAACTCACATTATTTTAATATTTTGCAATGTATTGTGTTCGCATTTAGATGTTTATTTATCTGAAATTTATTTTTGTTATAATGTGAGGTAGATGTAAACTAGGGAGACCACTTTGGTTTTTTTAATAGATATACTACATTATTTCAGTCCCATTTTTTCAAGTAAATGGTCTCTCACTGAATTCAAATACCACTTTTAAAAATCTTATTCAGATCTATTTTGGGGCTCTGATTTTCCCTCTCATCCTTATTACAATGTCAAAAATAAATAGTGCTTTATTCTAATAGTATTATACAATATTTTTAATATCTGGTAGCAAGTTTTTAACATTATTTTAATTTTTCATATACCTCTTGGCTAGTCTTACATAATAACCTCATTTCATGCAGTTTGAAAGAAATATTTCTTTTTATTATGTTTTATATTAATTTGGGAATAGCTGGCATTGTATTTTATTAAACCTTTGCATGGCATGTCATTCTTTTTATGTGGGTCTTGATTTAAACTTTTAAATACGAATTTGTGTGTCTTGATTTAAACCTTTAAATAAAATTTGTGAGTGTAAATTCTCCCTTTTGTACTGGATGTATTCCCAAATATTTTATACCTTTTGACAGAATTTTATAAGCATTGTCACTATGTTTTTAGTAGATTATTTCTTTTATAGATAAAAGCTATCATTTTTCTTATGTTTTTGTATGGCCATTTTACCAAAATCATTTACTGTAATTTTAGATAGAGTCTTCTGTTTTCCTAGAAATTCAATGATATAATCTAAGTTTGAAGACATCTTAACTATTTACACTCCATATTATAATAGTAACATTTGGTTTCATTATCCAATTGCATGTATTTAGCTAAACTTTCACAAACCATGATTACTAATAGTGTTGATAAAAGATAATCCATTTTCATTCTTTAGTTCATTGGACATGCATTTAGCATTTTATGATTTATTTTTATATTTCTGCTGCTTCTTTATATTATATTTGGGTAGTTTTTCTATGTCTAGTTTAAAAATTATGAAAATTATATAGTGAAGTATCAAATGGCTATTTTGTGATGTGTGGACCATATTCTTGTTTATTTTCTCCTTTAATTTGTTGATGTAATGAATTATGACTTAAATTACTAATTTTATCAAATCTTACAACATAACTAAATATATTTTATTTTATTATGATAGATTCATTTCATTATAATTCATCTGAGCACTGTTAGGCCTGATTTGCTACATTTTATGCTGAATCTTAAATCAATTTTATAAATGAAAACAGCCTGTGGTATTATTTTATATATTTTAATCAATATTTATTAACTTATGATAGCTGCATAAAATGAAATAAAATCTATTTCTTATTTTACAAAATAATTCTCCATAATTCATTTATTTTTGTGTATATTTTTTGTCAGCTAGATGATTTGAAAAGACTTTATGACCAACTATTTTGGAAGAAAAAAAGTTATGCAAATGAGTATCTGGAATCACTTAATAATTTCTATGCTGCAGTAAGTTGACCTTTCTCTTCTTCCCACTAGATTTTCATTCTCTATTCCCAAACCTTAATTATGCAACTAAAGAAATTTTATTATTTTATATATTATTTGTTTTTGAGATACATAAACATGTATAAATGATTCTTTTATTCTTTTCTTAAAGAAAAAAACATGGGATATTGATCTTTCCAATATCACAAAAGATTTTTCAGATCTTTCAATAACATATGCTCAATTGTTGGAGGAAAAGAAAAAACTTGAGATGGATATTGAGACTGTTGGAGATGCAATCAATGTCAGGTAATTCTGCAAACATAATTTTTATTCTTACGTAACAGACCTAATATGTTAAATGTAATTGTCTATGGCCATACCACCCTGAATGTGCCCGATCTCATCTAATATGTTAAATATAATAAACTTCTTCATTTTGTGTTTCTAGGATGGTATGGTGGTGTTTATGTTTATCACTAATGTAAATTTTGTTTCTGTTTCAATTATTGCTCTTTCATCACTCTGAATCCTTTTAAAAGTTCAGAATAATGAAAAATGATCTTATAAAGGGTTTTATACTCAGTCATATCACCTCCTTTTGAATATCTTCTTATACTCAAAGATACTTTAAAATTAAAATAGATCTAATGAAATTCATGCTCTCCTTCAATCAACCCTGAGCTCCCTGCAACTAATAAATTACTTTCCTTTGCTGGGAAACCTACAAGTATTTTTGACTCCTTATTTCGATGCCTATGTTTAACATGTTAACAAGAAATTTTTCACATACTAAGTATTTTTAAAATCTATTTGCTTTTCACTACTTTACCAGCACCCTGGTACAAGCTACCATTATGTCTTGAATGAATTTGCAGTGACTTTCAAAGCTGGTTTACATACAATCTCTATGCTCTTTTTCTAGTCTATTATTTACATTGTGGGAGGTATGTTCTTTATTGTTTTTCATTATAAGTATGATCAATTTCTCTCTATACTTGCATGGATTTTAGCTGAGAAAAAGGGACAACAACCTGTCCTTAATGTATTCCACAAGGTCTCTGAATAGGCAGGCACACCGGCCTTTGCAGTTTCATATCACACCTGGTTCACCCCTATTTATTTGATTCAAATACATTGGCTTCACTTGAATTTCTTTTATTTGCTGCATATTCTTCCGAGCCCATATGGCATTTTTATGCTATCTCCATTTCCTATAATGGTTTTCCTCTTCCTTATACCCACTTGATTACTATTTATCCTTGAGATTACAGTTTAGGGGTCAGCTCTGAGAAGCTTTCACCAACTGTCCAGTTTAGTCCAATTCCTCTGTTATGTGTGTACAGGGTACACATACTTTTTTCCTTCATATTTATTGTTATATTTGCAATTTTCTGTGTGTGAATATTGGACTGATGTATGTTTTCTTCAAAAAACGTGGGAAAACCCATGAGGGCAGATATAGGCCATAATGCGTTTTTTTCAACTTTGAATCCTCCTCATTAAACATAGTATCTGACACATACTATGCTATCCACAATTAATTATTGAAGGGAGGGAAGGAGGAAAGAAGAGAGAAGTGATGATGATACTTGATGATTGTATAGGAAGTTTGTTAAAATTTCTTAGTGGTGATTTTATCTTTAGAAATGATAGAATGCCACCAATTATAAAATTTATCTATATATTAAACATGTTTTTTAAGAAAGGAAACATTGTTTTCTGAAAGGTAACCAAAAACAGTAGTTGCTAATATTACTGCATTTTATTTTATTAAGAAAGATACCCAGAGGAGAAAAAACAATTTGAAGAGTGGGTAGGCTAATGAGAAGAAGACCCCTTTGGAGGAAAGGAAGAGAACGCGAGAAAGCATTTATTAGGTTATCCTTCAATAATGAGCAAACTCTGAATCCTAGTGATATATTGACATGAGTATAAAGGTTTATTTTTCACTTGCATTACAACTCAGCTGTGTTTGTGCTTCATGCTATTCCTACTTTTCAAAACCAGGGCGAAGGTTTGAGTCCTCTAGGGCATGTTGCTCTCATAGTGCATGTGCATTAGTGAGACCACTGATGGCTCTCACAGTCTCCACAGGAAGATGATAAATGTTACTTCTGCTTACACATCATTGAACAAAGGAGGTCATATGGCCATGCCTGATGTCAGCAGGGTGGGAATTCTAATACTCTTAAAAAGAGAGATAGGGAATAAATGGGAACACTAATGCAATCATCACACACAGTGGAAAGGTAGTGCTGTTTATAGGGAAAAATTTCCATGTTATGTCTTATGCGTGTCCAGGTAACACCTTAAGATGTTACATGATTACATAATTTTTCTTTGAAATTAAAAATTAAATGGATTATTTTAGCAGCAGATTGCACAGTGCTGAACAGAGAATTAGTGAAGGATTAATAAAATAATAGAAAGATTAAGGTATGTGTAGGCAAAAGTCAGGTCTACCACATACCTAAGTGCTGTTCCAGAGGAAAAGAAGATAAAATAAAGACAGAGCCCACATTTGATGAGATGATCAGCAGTTCGTGTATTGCAAATCATTCTTAAAGTCTTGTTTGTAACTAGCAAGTTTCTCAGATAGATACATGCAAAAATAATTATGTATTTCCCAAATTTTATTACCTTTTTTCTTCCAAATTTTCTAGAGTCATTTTATGATATCTTATTTGCTGTAGATGTTTAAAGCTCATCTTTTTAAAGATATCAACAGTTATTTTATAATCTACATCTAATAATATAAATAGCTGTAATCTTTGCAATCTACTTCTTCTAGCTCATGCTTTTGCAGTTTTGTTTTCTCATGCTCTTGGATATTTTTACTGTGTTGTACATTTTCTTCTGGAAACTATTTGTGGAAAACCTTTGAATTTCAGGATAAATTTAAGTTACTCATTTGCAGCCCTATATTTTTGAGAGAGGTTTTGCTTTTCAGCTTGTATTCTTAAATATGCCCCAAAGTTTATTTTTAATTTCCCAAGTCATGATATTCAAAGTTCCATTTTATCAAAATTTCTAGCGCTTTCTAAACAAAAGTATCTTGTGTGATCTTTTCTTAGAACGTTATAATGCATATTTGTTATTGAAAAGTAAGTACAAAAAAGTGTACAAAAACACATTGAACCTCAAATTATTTTAATACATAGATGTTATCACTGTTAATATGCCACTGATTTTTAATGAAACTAATTGTATGTCCTGATTTAATTCTCAACATGATATAATAGAATTTTTATTATGTTGTTATACAAATTTAAAACATATAATTTGACCTGTACAATAGTCTATTGCAGGAGTGAACCATTATTTTTATCAATGATACTCTGATTTTTGTATTTAGGTTTTTATATTTATGCTTTAGCATAAATGTGAATTTTTGTTAAAAATGATTTTTAGCATCATTCCTTTTTAAAATTCAAAATAGACTAATGGAGGTTAGATTGCCTATAATACTTTTAAATTCCTAGTGCTTCTTTAACACTGCTTTCCAAAAAGACTGTACCATTTACTGGAGAGGAGCAGTACATGAGCTTGCTCTGTTATGCACCTGTGCTCTCACCGAGGGCTGTACTTGTTAAAAAGTCTATTCAAACATGATAAATGCAAATATCTATTTGCAATATTGTTTCAAACTCTATTTTTTTAATTACTTAGGACGCAGAATATTATACATCTTCTCTTGAATTCTGCTTTTTCTAAATAACTGTCATATGCCTCCAAAGGAAGAAATAAGGAACTTCGGATTCAGAGTGGCAAAGTAGTTCTCATAAAGTCCCACAACTAGCATGGCTGGCATTATATTCAGATTCAGGATTTTTTACTTTATCTCATTTCTTTTTTTTTGCAATTCTAACTTTAGTTTAACTGATATTTAGTGAATGACCAAATGCGCTTGACCTATTAATTTAAAATAACCATCCCAAATAGCAGACCTAATATTAAAGTTGAAATTTACTTAGGGCACAGGTAAGACTGTGGTGAAATCACAGAGCTGGACAGAGCTGCACTTTTTGTTGTGTGGCCTAGAGCTTAGAGCAAACGCTTGACCCAATTGCGTGTGTGTGTACCTATGTTTTTATGTCGCAGGCAGGGACAAATACTGAGGGTAGAGAACTAAGTGTTAGATAATGGTTCATTTGAAAGGTTTGGACTCTGTTTAAGTGTATGGAAGTCTGCTAAAGGGGCTGTATGGTCAGATTTCTCCTGAGTTAAGAGTAATTGGACAGTTAAGGTTGGGATAACTGGTTTGATGGTGGTGCCAGAATTAAAGGAGAGATGTATGGAGGGGGAAAAATTGAAAGAAAGATATTGATGTGATTGATTTGGAATTGTACATGGAATGATTCAAGTGTAAGTGTTTAGATTTCACTTTGATTTATGGGTCTGAAATTGAGGAAAGATATTCATTAAGATAGATGTTAGGTGCTAACTGCAGAAGTACTTTAAATTGGCAAGCAAACATTTTAATGTTTATCACTTCATTTGCTTCTTAGAAACTAGAGTTTCATGAAATAGAAATTTTATGGGATAAATTATAACACTAAGTCATAAATCAGTATAAAATAAAGTTTCTGCACTGTCTGATAGGGCAGAGTTAAGAAATATAATTAAAGGCCTTTATAGACTCTACCACCAAAAAAAGATAAAAGGAAAAAGAAAACAGCTTTGTTGGTCATGAAATCACAAATATCTACTTAGAAAATATAAGCAGAAAATATTTCATCATTAGAGAATGAAACATAAATTCAGCAAAAAGAGGTAAATACAAAATGGGAAACTTCTATGAATAAATGAATAAAACAGCAGATATTATTGAAATTTATTAAATTTTCTTTTTCTTTTATTTTACTGAAGTAATTTGAGAAGTAAAAATTGTATACATTTAAAGTGTACAAAATTATACATTTTCAGTATATTTTTTAGAGAAATTAGGTTCATGGCAAAATTGCGGGGAATTTACAGAGATGTCCCATCGATGCACTAACACCTACACATGCATCGTCTCCTCCCTTATTATACATGTCTCATCAGAGTGGTACATTTGTTACAACTGATGAACCTACACTGACATATTATAATCACCCAAGGTCCATAGTTTATGTTAGGGTTCACTCTTGATGTACATTCTGTGGGTTTGGACAAATGCATGATGACATTCACCATGATGGTACCATACAGAGTATTTTCACTACCCTAAATATCCCCTGTGCTGTGCCTACTCATTTTCTTATTCCCCCTTCCCAAACTCAGGCAACCACTGACCTTTTTAATGTCTCCACAATCCCATATAG